AGAGTAAGAGGACAACAACAATAACATTACAGTAGGACAAGCGATAACTTTATTCATTAATCACGTGATGCCCAACGTGATTTCTCGCCTCGTCGATATCTCAGATATTCTCAGTGATTCAAGGTCTGCTTACAAGGAAACGAAAAAAGTGGCGGGGGCCGTCTCGCTCCGAAGCGCACGGGCCCCCGGCAACAGGAACGTAAGTTTACAAACAGCGTTCGGAACTAACAACCATTAACTAGGAATCGACATATCTCTCAAGGTACTCTTGCATTCGACATCGCGCGAAAGCGCCGCGCGTCACGCCGAACGGAAGTCAGATAACTTGCGCGGCTGCCCGTGCTGCTGCCGGAGGATCTTCCTTCGACCTCGGGTAACGCGGGTAACGCGATCGACGTCGAACGTTAGGAACAAAACTAGGACGCGGTATCCGGTTTATTCGGTATATATATATTTTTTTTTTTGGTTCCCAATCGACAATCACCAAATTCGCTACAACTTTGCCGATTCGGAATCGATCGTCGCGTTGTCGGACTCCGAGATTCGGGCAATTCGAGGACGCGTGAAGTGTATATGCTGTGGGCTTATCCAGATAAACTTACATAGCTGCACAATCATTTGCATTAAAAAAAAAAATTATCCAATCGCATTTCTATCATAAGGACATATGTAAAATGCGATTGGGTAATTTTCTTTATGCATGATTATGCAAGAATGCACGTGTATCTGGATCTAGGCCCTACATCACCTGTCTACATAAACGTCGAGTACATAGAACGTAACTGGAGAACGGTGCGGTGTTGCCGTGAACGAACACATTTGCGAGATAACGAGCAAAAGCGCGAATCGACACGCCCCTTAAATCAGAGAGAGAGAAAGAGAGCGTCTCCCGAAATATTAAGCATGGACTGAAGACGATACAATTTCGACGAGTTAACAATTCTCGATGCTCGCGAGAAAGGAGAAGAGAATCAAAAGGATTGATTGCACACCCTATGCCGATCGTCGCCACACTTTCCGTTGAGCGCGAGCGAGCATAGTGGGATACGCTTTCGCATTTCCGCGCGAGACATCCCGACATTTGAATTCGACGAAGTTACGGCTTAGCTGTCGATCGCTATTCCGAGAGACGCTACTCCGCCGGGCGTTCTTTCGCGTCGCGACGAAGTCGCGATCGTCACCTCTGTAATTGGGCCGCGTGACGAGGGAAGAGGCTTTTGCCTGGAGCACGCGCGCTCTCTCGACAAGAGAACTCTTCCTCGGCGCCGTCCTACTAATCGCGGCGCCTCTCATGGGCCCCTGGACCCGACGTACGTCGTTTTCTCCGTCGTCCCGTCTGAGTGGCGCGAAGACCGGTTCCTCTCGCCTTGCGATTGTTGCGGATTGACCACAAGCAAATTCGTTAAGCGATCCTCTCCTGTCACGGCATCACCGCTCGTTCATCTGTCACTCCACGGGAAGAAAGAAAGGAGGAGAGCGGGGG